CATGCACCACCGTCACGGGTATAAGCAGAGCTCTACGTACCAATCGTCACGGGCATACAGAGCTCTACGCACACCGTCACGGTATACAGAGCTCTACGTACCACCGTCACGGTATAGAGCTTACGTACCACCGTCACGGGTATAAGCAGAGCTTATGCACCACTGTCACGGGTATACAGTGCTCTACGCACCACCGTCACGGTATACAGAGTTTACGCACCACTGCCGGTATAAGCAGTGCTTCTGCCGCACTGTACCGTCACGGGTATACAGAGCCTACGTACCACCGTCACGGGTATACAGAGTTTATTGCACACTGTCACGTAAGTATACAGAGCTCTACGCACCACCGTCACGGGTATACAGTGCTCTACGCACCACGTCACGGGTATACAGAGCTCTACGCACCACTGTCACGGGTATACAGTTTTACGCACCACCGTCACGGGGTATACAGAGCCTACGTACCACCGTCACGGGTATACAGAGTTTGCTGCACACCAGTCACGGGTATACAGAGCTCTGCCGTACCACTGTCACGGGTATACAGAGCTTCTACGTACCACTGTCACGGGTATGTTGCGAGCTTCACGTACCACTGTCACGGGTATACAGAGCTTCACGCACCACCGCTGTCACGGGTATAAAACAGTGCTCTACGCACCACCGTCACGGGTATATAGAGTTTACGCACCACTGTCACGGGTATACAGTGCTCTACGCACCACCGTCACGGGGTATACAGAGCTCTACGTACCACCGTCACGTATACAGAGCTTCACGTACCAACGGTCACGGGCATACAGAGCTCTACGTACCACCGTCACGGGTATACAGTGCTTCTGCCGTACCACCGTCACGGGTATACAGAGCTTCCTACCACCGTCACGGGTATACAGAGCTCTATTACGTACCACCGTCACGGGTATACAGAGTCTACGTACCACCGTCACGGGCATACAGAGCTCTACGTACCACCGTCAAGGGTATATGCCAGAGTTTACGTACCACCGTCACGGGTATGGTTGGTGAGCCTACGTACCACCGTCACGGGTATAAGTTGTGAGCTCTACGTACCACCGTCACGGGTAGCAGAGCTCTACGTACCACCGTCACGGGTATACAGAGCTCTACGTACCACCGTCGGTATACAGAGCTCTACGTACTTCCACCGTCGGGTATACAGAGCCCCTACGTACCACCGTTCATGGGTATACAGAGTTTCTACGTACCACCGTTCGCTGGCATAAGTTGCAGCCTACGTACCACTGTCACGGGTATACAGAGCCTACGTACCACCGTCACGTATATATAGGAGTTTCACGGTACCACCGTCACGGGTATATGGTTTCTACGTACTTCACCGTCACGCGGTATACAGAGCTCTACGTACCACTGTCACGCGGGTATACAGAGTTTACGTACCACCGTCACGGGTATACAGAGCTCTACGTACCACTGTCACGGGTATACAGAGCTCTACGTACCACTGTCACGGGTATACAGAGCTCTACGTACCACTGTCACGGGGTAGCGGCGATTCTACGTACCACTGTCACGGGTATAAGAAAAGTTCTACACCACTGTCACGGGTATGTTAGAGCCTCTACGTACCACCGTCACGGGTATACAGTGTTTCGCCTCAACGTCATCACGGGTATACAGGCGTTTCACGTACCACCGTCACGGTATAGCAGTGCTCTACGCACCACCTTCACGGCATATGCTTCACGTACCACCGTCACGGGTATACAGAGTCGAGTATGAAACGAACATCTGCTCTTATTAGTTCAATGAGTTCAAGTACCGATATAGCATAGAGCATACAGAACGTCATCAGTCCGCTCTGTACTGTGTGTGGGGTTGCTGGCTGGCTGGCGGCATACATGGCTGGGCCAGCTGGGCTGGCTGGGGCTGGGCTGGCTGGCTGTCTGGCTGGCTGGCTGGGCGGGCTGGCTGTCTGGGGCTGGCTGGCTGTTGGCTGGCTGGTCTGCTGGCTGGCTGTCTGGCTGGCTGGCGGGCTGGCTGCTGGCGGCTGGGGCTGGCTGGCTGGCTGGCTGGCTGGCGGCTGGCTGCTGCTGGCTGGGGCTGGCTGGCTGGCTGGCTGTCTGGCTGGCTGGCTGGCTGGCGGGCTGGCTGGCTGGCTGGCTGGCTGCGGGCTGGCTGGCTGGCTGGCTGGGGTGATGTTTACAAGATGTCAGAGAACTGTTGATTTTTGAGCAGTATTTTGGGATGGGTTAGGTTAGGATAGGATGAGTTTGATAAGGTTAGGTTGGGTTAGGTTAGGTTAGGCTGGGTTAGGTTAGGCTGGGTTAGGTTGGGTTGGGTTAGGTTAGGTTAGGCTGGGTTAGGTTAGGCTGGGTCAGGTTAGGTTAGGTTAGGTGGCTTTATACTCGCCCCCTGTACACCTCAAAACGTTGTTGTTGACGAGTGATGGTGTTCCTGCCGGCTCCTTCTATAGCGATGTGGAAATAGCACACACACACACACACACACACACACACACACACACACACACACACACACACACACACACACACACTCACACTCTCACTGTTATAACTTCTCTTGATATTAGGTATGTGTATGTGTGTGTATGTGTATGTGTGCGTATCGTAACTCAGTGATTATCTCTGTGTGTACACGCTCGGGTGCATGTGTACACGAGCGTAAGAGTGCGTGTGAGTGTAGAGTAGACACACACACACACACACTTGTAGATGAATGACCTCAAGTAATAATAATTGACTTATAACCAATACTAAATAATCATATACAGTAAATGACAATATTGAACAAAAGTAACAATATTGAACAAAAATAACAATATTGAACAAAAGTAACAATATTTAATAAAAGTAACAATATTTAATAAAAGTAACAATATTGAACAAAAGTAACAATATTGAACAAAAGTAACAATATTCAATTAAAGTAACAATATTTAATAAAAGTAACAATATTCAGTTAAAGTAACAACATTTAACAAAAGTAACAATATTCATTTAAAGTAAGAATATTTAATAAAAGTAACAATATTCAATTGAAGTAACAACATTTAACAAAAGTAACAATATCTAACAAAAGTAAAAATATTTCACAAAAGTAACAATAGTTGTCTTACAAGTAATGTTATATGACCTATAAGTAACAGGTAAGTAACTTCGTCTCAGAGTTTGAAAGACTTAATGAGTTTATTAACCTCAATAAAACACAGGTGAGGATTTTACCGCTTAGTGTCGCTAGGATAAAGGTTCTTCTCCGTCAGTGAGTGAGTGAGTGAATGAGTGAGTGAGTGAATGAGTGAGTGAGTGAATGAGTGAGTGAGTGAGTGAACGTGAGTGAGTGAGTGAGTGAATGAGTGAATGAGTGAGTGAATGAGTGAGTGAGTGAGTGAACGTGAGTGAGTGAGTGAGTGAGTGAGTGAATGAGTGAGTGTTTGAACGTGAGTGAGTGAGTGAATGAGTGAGTGACCTCCAGTGGGTGAATGGATGAGTGACCTCCAGTGGGTGAATGAATGAGTGACCTCCAGTGGGTGAATGGATGAGTGACCGCCAGTGGGTGAATGGATGAGTGACCTCCAGTGGGTGAATGGATGAGTGACCTCCAGTGGGTGAATGGATGAGTGACCTCCAGTGGGTGAATGGATGAGTGACCTCCAGTGGGTGAATGGGTGACCTCAGTGGGTGAATGGATGAGTGACCTCCAGTGGGTGAATGAGTGACCTCCAGTGGGTGAATGGATGAGTGATTACTCAGTGGGTAGATGGATGAATGACCTCCAGTGGGTGAATGGTGACCTCCAGTGGGTGAATGGATGAGTGACCTCCAGTGGGTGAATGGATGAATGACCTCCAGTGGGTGAATGAATGAGTGACCTCCAGTGGTGAATGGATGATGACCTCCAGTGGGTGAATGGATAGGTGACCTCCAGTGGGTGAATGGATGAATGACCTCAATTGGTGGAATAGTGACCTCAGTGGGTGAATGGATGAGTGACCGCCAGTGGGTGAATGGATGAGTGACCTACAGTGGGTGAATGAATGAGTGACCTCCAGTGGGTGAATAGTGACATCAGTGGGTGAATGGATGAGTGACCGCCAGTGGGTGAATGGATGAGTGACCTACAGTGGGTGAATGGATGAATGACCTCCAGTGGGTAGATGGTGACCTCCAGTGGGTGAATGGATGAGTGACCTCCAGTGGGTGAATAGGTGACCGCCAGTGGGTGAATGGATGAGTGACCTACAGTGGGTGAATGAGTGACCTATAGTAGATACTGGCGCACCAAAAATCTTCTTTAAAGAGTGATCGTCCCAGTGATAAACTACATGAACCTCGACCTTATCATACCGTATTGTTTGTCACTCTCTTGCCACGAAAACATAACCCCTTTCACCCTCCTTCCCTTCCCCTCCCTCCTCCTCCCTCCCCCACCTTCTCTCTCTCCCCTCCCTCCCTCTCCCTTCCATTCCCTCCCTCCTCCTTCCCCCCAGTTATAGGAGAAAATAATCATTAAGGGTAATTTTCTTATTGAGTATTCACACAGACCGGACCTTATCACACCTTGCCGTATATCACTGTCTCTCCTTCCCCCCCACCGCCCTCCCTACCCCTCCCTAAAAAGACCATTTCCCCTCACTTTAAATCCCGACCTTGTTGCTTAAGTCCGTCTCTTTGCTATTGAGTTCTTAGTTAACTTATCAGTACTTTACACTTTACATATCGATGACCTGTTGATTTAAGTAGCAGTTAAGGGAGAGTTTATGGTGACCTGTAGTAGTATTGGTAAGACAGTATTGATGTCTTGATTCTTGAAGATTCTTACGTTGGACTTGTCTTCATATGTGTCGGACTTGTTTTCATGTGTTGGACTTGTTTTCATGTGTTGGACTTGTTTTCATATGTGTCGGACTTGTTTTCATGTGTTGGACTTGTTTTCATATGTGTCGGACTTGTTTTCATGTGTTGGACTTGTTTTCATATGTGTTGGACTTGTTTTCATGTGTTGGACTTGTCTTCATATGTGTCGGACTTGTCTTCATATGTGTCGGACTTGTCTTCATATGTGTCGGACTTGTCTTCATATGTGTCGGACTTGTCTTCATATGTGTTGAACTTGTCTTCATATGTGTCGGACTTGTCTTCATATGTGTCGGACTTGTCTTCATATGTGTTGGACTTGTCTTCATATGTGTTGGACTTGTCTTCATATGTGTCAGACTTGTCTTCATGTTGTTTTCATGTGACTTGTCTTCATACTTGTCTTCATATGTGTCAGACTTGTCTTCATATATGTTGGACATGTCTTCATATGTTGGACTCTTCACTTATGGACTTGTCTTCATATGTGTTGGACTTGTCTTCATGTGTCAGACTTGTTCGTGACTTGTCTTCATATGTGTCGACTTGTCTTCATATGTGTCGGACTTGTCTTCATATATGTCAGACTTGTCTTCATGTGTCGGACTTGTTTCTGACTTGTCTTCCTTAGTGTCTTGACTACTTCATATGTGTCGGAGACTTGTCTTCATTCATGTGTCGACTTGTTCATTGTCATATGTCTTCATACTTGTCGGACATTATATGTGTCAGACTTCTTGTCATATGTGTTGTCTTCAGACTTGTTTTCATGTGTTGGACTTGTCTTCATATGTGTCGGACTTGTCTTATGTGTAGACTTGTCTTCTTGTAACTTGTCTTCATATATGTCGGACTTGTCTTCATATGTGTCGGACTTGTCTTCATATGTGTGGACTTATGCATTCATATGTGTCGTCTTTGTTTATATGTGTCTTCATATTGTCAGACTTGTCTTCATACTTGTCTTCATACTTGTTTTTCATCGGAGGCTTGTCTTCATATGTGTCAGACTTGTCTTCATATGTGTTGGACTTGTCTTCATGTGTCTTGTTTTCATTATGTTAGACTTGTCTTCCATATGTGTGGACTTGTCTTCATATGTGTTGGACTTGTCTTCATATGTGTTGGACTTGTCTTCATATGTGTCGGACTTGTCTTCATATGTCTTCATATGTGTCAGACTTGTCTTGTCTTCATATGTGTTGGACTTGTCTTCATATGTGGACTTGTCAACATATGTGTTGGACTTGTCTTCATATGTGTCGGACTTGTCTTCCATATATGTTGGACTTGTCTTCATGTGTGTCATATGTCACTTGTCTTCATATATTATATGATTGTCAGACTTGTCTTGTGTTGTCGGACTTGTCTTCATATGTGACTTGTGTCACTTGTCTTCATGTGTGTCTTGTCTTGATGTCAGACTTGTCTTCATATGTAATGTCTTGGTGTTAGACTTGTCTTCATATTGTCAGACTTGTCTTCATATGTGGTCGGACTTGTCTTCATATGTGTCGGACTTGTCTTCATATGTGTTGGACTTGTCTTCATATGTGTCGGACTTGTCTTCATATGTGTCGGACTTGTCTTCATATGTGTTGGACTGTGAGAAAGATTTAGGAGTAATGATAAGTAGGAATCTTAAGCCAAGTAAACAATGTGTATTTGCTCGTAACAAGGCTAATAAAGTACTTGGGTTCATACAAAGGAGTGTTAGTTACAAGACTAGTGAGGTCATCTTAAAACTTTATCTTGCTCTTGTGAGACCACACCTGGATTACGCCGTTCAGTTCTGGTCACCGTACTACAGAATGGATATAGAATCCCATGAAAGAATTCAGAGGAGAATGACAAGACTAATCCCGGGCATTAGGAACCTTGAGTACAGAGACAGGTTAAAACATCTTAATTTGCACTACCTCGAGAGACGTAGAGAGAGGGGCGATATGATAGAGGTGTATAAATGGAAGTCAGGGCTAAACAAAGGTGATATAACAAAGGTACTCAAACTATCCAACCAGGAGCGAACTCGTAACAATGGTTTTAAATTAGATAAATTTAGATTTAGGCGCGAAATAGGTTGAGAAATAGAATACGCTGGATAGCTTCAAACATAGGTTGGATGGATATATGAGCGATAGGGGTTGGGTGTAAACGGGACTACCCAGTATGGCCCGCTGCAGTTTCCTCCATTCTTGTGTGTGTGTGTGTGTGAGGGAATGTTTACAGCGGTTTACTTTCTCTTCTTAGTTTCACTGTTTCGATTGAGTTTCAGAGCCTAATGTTTCAGTTATCATTTATGCCTTTTACCTATAACCTCTGTCTAGTTTCACCAGTGTCGCGTGTTTCAAGTTTCTATGATTCTCTCTTAACACACACACACACACACACACACACACAGAAGAAACGCCATGTTTGTTATCATTCTATTCGATGACGTAAGAGAGGTGATGTAATAGAAGTGACGTCATAGCTGTCCTCCTACCTGTGTGAAGTGACGTCATAGCTGTCCTCCTACCTGTGTGAAGTGACGTCATAGCTGTCCTCCTACCTGTGTGAATTAAATTATGGTCGACCTCGGGTGTAGGAGTGACCAGTGGCGGAGACAGAATGGCAGACGGGTATTGGTAATGACAGGTGATTGACAGGGAGATGGGGGGGGCGACTGTGGGTGGGACGGGAGTTATGTCGTGTCAGTTTAAGGTGTTGACTGTCACGCTGTCTTCTGCTGTCACCTGCCTAGTTAATTATCTTTTTGTTGTTACCTGTCATGCTCTCTCTCTCTCTCTCTCTCTCTCTCTCTCTCTCTTCCTTAGTGGAGAATCGATCCCTGGAAGTCCTAGATTAGCGGCTAAGTGCGATGACCACTCAGCCACCGTTATGTACACAGTGTCGAGGAGGGATTCACTTGTAGCGTTGATAATGACGTCAGAGCCGAGTCTAATGTTACGTAGATGTGTATGGGGGGAGAGAGAGGGAAGGAAAGAGAAGGATAATAAGAAAGAAGGATAGGGAGGAAGGGAGGAAAGAAGCGAGGGAGGGAAAGAAAGGGAGACAAGTCGTAATACAAAACCAAATGTTACGCTACAAAATATGTGGGCTATTGTTACGCCAGGGAGGGAGGTAGTGACGCAGTTAACAGTAGGTAACGGGCGGTCACAGGTCCGTCATGTGGTGGCCGTTATGCTCCCTTGACCGTCACACGTCATGGAATCCCGGTGACGGTCTGAAGGGAGGGATGGAGTGACGGGGGTGGAAGGGAGTGTGGATGGGAGGGAGGGAGGGAGGAAGGAGGGAGGAAGGGAGAGGGGTGCCAGCTAAAATGTGTTGTATACGTGTGAAGAGAGAGAGAGAGAGAGAGAGAGAGAGAAGAGAGAGAGAGAGCATCATTAACACAACACATCAGTTCTCTACGAAAAATTAAACACCACCAAAAGTCACCCCCACCGACCCCCACTCCCACCACTCTTGTCCTCCTGACCCCACTCCCACCACTCTCGCCCTCACCACGACCCCCACTCCCACCACTCTTGTCCCCACCCGACCCCCACCACCACTCTCTCCTACCCTCCCACGACCCCCCACTCCCACCACTCTCGTCCTCACCACGACCCCCCTCCCACCACTCTCGTCCCCACCACGACCCCCACTCCCACCACTCTCGTCCCCCACCGACCCCCACCACTCTCGCCCCCCACCGACCCCACTCCCACCACTCTCGCCCTCCTGCCGACCCCCTCCACCCTCTCGTCCCCCCACGACCCCCACTCCCACCCATCTTGTCCCCCACCGACCCCCACTCCACCACT